ATAGGTACTACATGTAGACCTCTCTCAGATTTGTTCATTTTGTAATGATATCTTTAAATTCTCTAATTTTGATGAATATTTTTGTAATTTTTGGTAAAAAGTGATATTTTTGAATTCTTGTTGAAAACAGCAAGTCCCATTGCTTGATACTATACATATTGTTCATTTTTAGCTCCGCTGTTGACTTTGTCGAGCAGAGCTTATCATATAAGTGATTGTCCGTCGTCGTCGTCTGTCGTCCATGTCAATGTTTTACTTTTTTGACTTCTTCTTGAAAACTACAAGCCTGAATGCTTTGATACTTGGTGTATATGTACCTTGGGTAGACCTCTCTTAGGTTTGTTCATTTCATGTTGATATCTTCAATTCTCTAATTTCGGTGAATATTTTTGTCATTTTTGGTAAAAAGTGATATTTTCGACTTCTTGTTGAAAACCGCAAGTGCAATTGCTTTGATATTATATATATATAGGTACTACATGTGGACCTCTCTCAGATTTGTTCATTTTGTAATGATATCTTTAATTCTCTAATTTTGGTGAATATTTTTATCATTTTGGGTAAAAAGTGATATTTTCGACTTCTTGTTAAAAACCGCAAGTCCAATTGCTTTGATACTACATATATAGATACTACATGTGGACCTCTCTCAGATTTATTCATTTTATAATGATATCTTCAATTCTCTAATTTTGGTGAATATTTTTGTTATTTTTGGTAAAAAGTGATATTTTCGACTTCTTGTTAAAAACCACAAGTCTGATTGCTTTGATATTACATATATAGGTACTACATGTGGACCTCTCTCAGATTTGTTCATTTTGTTCATTTTGTCAAAGTTCGTTTAGGCTAGGACATTCAAACTCGAACTTATCGTTCACAAGATAAGAAAATGCTTTGTCATAGAGTCTGTTAAAGGTGCCAAGTATGAAATAATTAAGAGACAAAAACACAAACCTGCGTAAAATTCAGAAGAATATGTCTTTTGCTTATCGGGGACACATTTCAATGATTACGAACAATGCATGGCGCAAATTTCACCCGGAAATTCTGCAGTGTGCTGTCACAATTATGGATTTAGTCATTTTTACAAGGTTTGCCATTTTTGTTGTCACATGGTAATTATATAAACAATGGTTGTCCAGTTTATGCGAACTTGACCCTCTATACTTAGGCTTATGAATTATATATGCTAAATTACGACTCTGAATAAGACAATAGACAGAAAATGCTTTATTCAAAAACGTCATCAAACCATTCTCGCTACCTTAAATTTGATATGCAACCAACTAATTACTAATTACTAAACATATACCATTAGCTTTGCAACTGATCATACATATATTTCTAAATATAATTAATATTTCATCGCCGACAAGCTTACCTCCACTCAGGCCTCAAAATATTTATAGCTATACTGTAATAGTTGCATAGTCTACTGTAATCATTTATTTAACATCATTATTCATGTACATGTGATCTTCCGAAATGGAATTTAAATGGTATGACCTATGAAAAATGCATGCACATACCTAATTTTCACTGGAACTTAATTTCACACATTTTCCAGTTAAACATTTAGTTTTGAATTGTAATTTTTCATGTTCACATGGATTTAATGTATCAGATTTCACTCATCAACGAAAATAACAAACCTATTGAATAATTAATGTGTTTACTGTATTATGTCAAGGCTCAGATAAAGCAGTACCTGTTTTAGAGTTATACAATGCATTAATATCAAAACCACCATTTTCACTTGAGTGTTATTGCGACACATAAAATTCCCCATGAGGAATTAAAATGGTTACAAAAAATGCATGTATTTCATGTTAATGTGTATGTTGGGAAATGAATCTTTGATGTTGATAACATCACTTGGAATTGTATGTAGTCTGTGTCTTTAACCTTTTCACCACCAGACTTTCTCGCCAACATTTTTCTATACTTTTTTCTTGTATTCTTGAAGATTTCTAGAAATGAACCCTAATTTTGAAGCCAACAGACACAATTTTAGCCAGTTTTCAGTTTTACTTACTTTAACAATTTGGCTACTTTTGTTCCATTCTTCTAAAGAAAAGTGTAGACTATAAACTATTTTGTGAACTTTTTATAAAAAGAGGGAACTGGTGGTGAAAAGGTTAATGCCTGACATGAATGCCTTTATGTCCTTCTAATTAATCTGATATAATTAACCTTCACAATTCAATCAGCCTAAGGCATTTTTATAAATGTTGAAACTGGGAATCCAGAACTTCAAGACCTGTAATATTGTCATATTTGTTTGTTCTTTGGCACCCAATTTGCTTCTATGTGGTATAGAATTATGTATTATCTGTATACATGTATTACATTTCATGTAATTTCCTTCTGTTGAATATTAATGCATAAAATTCAGGAAAAATACAAATGATTACCGGTATATTAAGATTCTCTGAGGGAAAATATTTAAATGGTGTAATATTGCCAGATATAATATTTTATTTTAGCTAGAATTAATTTTCGCTGAAAAGATGTAGGTGTTTTTTTATTTTCCCTGATTTTTGACAAGTTGAATGTAAAATATGGGAAAAAAGGTATATTCCCTGGAATTTATTTTCACTGAATCATTCCTTCAGCGAAAATAAAATATTTTACAGTATGTCACATAATATATGGTGTATTCAAATCCCTCCTTTGACAGATTGTTGACTAGAACTTGAGAATTGTTTTTCATATGACCACACATTGCATGTCAATTCACCACATTCAATTACCCACCGTAGACTCCAATCAGTCAAAATGACTATTTTGAACTGTAGGCATTAATCTGCAATTCAGCCAATGATGGAGAGAGAAATCAAGGTCAGGGGAAGCCCCAGACCTCATAGATTTTCTTCCACGCTGCGTAACACTTGACCGAAGCAAAAAGGCCAGTGCCATCTTGCCCCATCTTCACTTCCCTATTTTCTTCACACCGAGGTGCATCGCAGCAAAACAGTGCAGCTCAGTCAGCAGTTTTTCGAATTAGTTTTCTGAGGTACTCCTTGTGTGACCGTTAGTAACAGTAAGACGTGATGTCTTGTAGTATAAAATTTTTCTTATTAGAGGCCTCATGTTCTTTTTATACCGCATACAAAATTTAACTCAGATGATGCATTTGACCTCTTTTGTTGGGCTTCATTGTGTTAGTTTCAACTGTAATTGCGTTCAATTCTTAGTGTAGTTAAAATGGACTAGAAGGAAGGAAAGCACTCCAAGAAGAGCTCCTCACCTCCTGGGTCGTGCCCCCCAAAAAACGATTGTGCCGGCAACGGCGAGGCCCTGCCCCTGGAGCCAAGTGCTTCTATGGGGCCTGTTGTGGATCCGTTCTTGCCGAGTACTGGGCTTGTCTCCGAGATTCGGGCGATGTTCGAGGGCCTGTCAGGACAAATTTTGTTCCTTTCAGGCCGGGTGAACAAGCTGCAGCAGGAGTGTGTTCCCTCGACTGCAGACACCTCTTGGCCGGCAAACAGGAGAAAGCACCCCAGGAAGTGACGTTCGTGTTCAAAGGGTGTGTCACAAGGTTGATTTAAATATTTGGGTAAATTATACAAATGCCTAAATGTTGGGTTCCAAATATCACTCGTGTTGTGGAGTTCTTTTTCCAGACCAAATTAATTGTTTATATCTCTAATTGTATAGAGTGGTTGTGACCAGTTCAGCAATATGTTTGGGAATACAAACATACCAACACAGCATACTAGAGAAAACTAACAAACAAACAAAGAAAAGAAATTTAATTAATCACGGAATACAAATGCATTACAAATATCATTAATCACTCCCAAAACAAGGGAAATAAATATATACATCTTGCTGATATACATGTATTAATAATGTTGTAGATACACAACTTCCCAACGTAATACGGCATTCCCTGTTTCAATACATAGAATACCAAAATAGTTATCTTATTTAATCGATT